TGCAATTTAAAAAGTAACTCTATTCAAAGCTAAAGAAAGAATCAAGAATGTGGTTTAGATTCAAAATTTTGTCCCCTTGGAGACTGTGTCAGAGGTTGGGAAACCTCAGGCCTTAAGCAAGCTGGCCTTTAGCTTTGCTTTTTCAGTAATCCCTGACCCACAGCAGAGCAGTGATTACAGATACCTGAAATTACTTACTTGCCTCAAAGAGGAAAGTACAGTAAGTCCCCATGTTACGTAGGTCCGACCTACTGTCCAACTGAGAGACGTCTGACTCATGAACAACTCTTACTTGCCCTTTAATGTTATGTAAATTTGCCCTCACTCTGAAATGACTGAATCAACCCCTACTCACAACAAATTCTTCATCACAATCTCCTTCACTTGCTGCATGTGCAGCTTTTAAATCACTGAAAAGGCTTTGAACTTTTTCTTGCACTAACCAAATCCTACTGCAATTGAGTCAGTTCTGACTCACAGTGATCCTACAGGACAAAGTAGAACTGTCCCATGGGGTTTCCAAGGCTGTAAATTTTTTTTTATTATTGTACTTTAAATGAAAGTTTACAATTCAAGTTAGTATCTCATACAAAAATTTATACATATACTGTTATGTGACCCTAATTGCTCTTCCTATACTGTGACAGCACACTCCTCCTTTCCACCCTGGATTTCCCACGTCCATTCAACCAGCTCCTGACCCTCTCTGACTTCTCATCTCACCTCTGAACGGGAGCTGCCCATTTAGTCTCATGTATGTACTTGAGCTAAGAAGCACACTCTTCACAAGTATCATTTTATGTTCCATAGTCCAGTCTAAACTTTGACTGAAGAGTTGGCCTTGGGAATGGTTTTAGTGCTAGGGTTGACAGAGTCCGGGGGCCATGTTTCTATCTTTATGCTATCGTGAACAGTGCTGCAATGAACATGGGTGTGCATGTGTCTATTCGTGTGATGGCTCTTATTTCTCTAGGATACATTCCAAGGAGTGGGATAGCTGGATCATATGGTACTTCTATTTCTAGCTTTTTAAGGAAGTGCCAAATCAATTTCCAAAGTGCTTGTACCATTTTACATTCCCACCAATAGTGTATAAGTGTTCCAGTCTCTCCACAACCTCTCCAACATTCCAAGGCTGTGAATTTTTATGGAAGAAGGCTGCCACATCTTTCTCCCGTGGAGCAGCTGGTGGGTTCAAACCACCGACCTTTTGGTTAGCAGCCAAGCGCTTTAACCACTGCACCACCAGGGCTCCTTTTCTTGCACTAAACCCAAACCAAACCCATTGCTGTCGAGTCGATTCCAACTCATAGCAACCCTATAGGACACAGTAGAACTGCCCCATAGGGTTTCCAAGGAGTGGCTGATGGATTTGAACTGCTGACCTTTTCGTTAGCAGCTGAGATCTTAACCACTGCACTACCAGGGCTCCTGAATTATGTCACCCCAAAATATGTATCAATTTGACTAGGCCGTGATTCTCAGTAGTGTGTGATCATCCACCATTTTGTCCTCTGATGTGATTTTCCTATGTGTTGTAAATCCTACCTCTTTGATGTTAATGAGGTGGGATTAGTGGCAGTTATGTTAATGAGGAAGGACTCAATCTACAAGACTAGGTTGTGTCTTAAATCAATCTCTTTTGAGATATAAAAGAGAGAAGTGAGCAGAGAGACATGGGGACCTCATACCACCAAGAAACAACAGCCAGGAGAATAGTGCATCCTTTGGACCTGGATTCCCTGCACTGAGAAGCTCCTCGACCAGGGAAGATTGATGACAAAGACCTTCCCCCAGAGCCAACAGAGAGAGAAGGCCTTCCCCTGGAGCTGGCACCCTGAATTCAGACTTCTAACCTCCCAGACTGTGAGAGAATAAATTTCTCTTTGTTAAAGCCATCCACTTGTGGTATTTCTGTTATAGCAGCACTAGATAATGAAGACAGAATTTGGTACTGGGAGTAGGGTGCTGCTCTTACAGATACCTAAAATGTGGAAGTGGTTTTGAAACTGTGAATGGGCATAGCCTGGAAGAGTTTTAAAGTGCCTAACAGTAAAAGCCTAGATTGCTTTGAAGAGACTGTTGGTGGAATTATGGACATTAAATACAATTCTGGTGAGGACTCAGAAAGAAGTGAGGCACTGTTACACTGGAGATGGTGGAGATGGCGAGAAATGGCAGCAGCAGAACCATGAGACCAGTGCCAGACAGCACTGGAGCCAACCAATGGAGTGAGAGAGCTGCGTGTCTTTGGCAGGAGGCTTCCTGGCAGAGTAGGGTGCCCCCGGCCACTTATCAGTGGAGCTAGGCTTGCCAACCCGTGGAGCAAGAGGGCTGAGTGCCTTCCCGCCGAAGTTTACTGGCGGAGTGGGGTGCCTCCAAGAGCTTATTGATGGAGATACAGAGCTTTCGAACACTTGCCTGAGCTAGGCAGGTGTGGGCTGTGAGGCCCAAAAGGCCAAGAGGCCAAGGAACCAGGAAGCAAAAGCTGAAGGGACAAGGAACACAGGAAACAGAGCTGCCTCAGTCTCAAAAGGTAGATCCACAACCTTTGGGGTCTCAAAAGATGGAGCCATTGCTGCTGGAGTTTCCACTCAGAATGACTAGGAGAATAGGGTTGCCCAAATCTTAGGGAGCAGAGTTGCTGTTCCAGTGGGCCTGGAAGGGAGAGCTGAAGCCCAGGGCAGAGGGGCTTCCACTCAGAATCCAAGGACCTGTTGTGAAAGGAGGAAAAGGAGAATGTCTCTTTTCTCTGTAAAAATGACTGTAAGGAAATGTTACACACACACATATAAACATACACGCTTAGTCTCTCAACAATTTGTATACTTCTACCTTAAAAAGAGTCTTGGCGTGCTGCACAAGTCTCACAGTGGCCAAAGGCTGAGAGTGTTATTATCTCGGCATCAGCTTGAAGAATGGTGACAATTCCAGCATCCTTCCCTTCCCTTCCAAAACCATGGAAGAGGTCCTTTAAAGGCTCCTGCCATTTTCAAAATGGATACCAGACAAAGTTTATCAGTTTGCAGAAATGTCTCAGGGTAAGCAATCGGTGTCATTCGTGGCAAGAGAGATCATGAGGGAGCAGAGTCGGCCAAGTTTTCTCCATTCCACCTAGAACACAGAACAGACACTACCCAGCTTCTGAAGATGCTAAATCTTCCCTGTTTACTTACATATAAATGGAATGCAAGTGGGACCATTACAGAAATAACAATAAATAGTTCCCTTGGGTAATAAAGGCCTCTTATGTATGGGGCAGAGTTAGTTTTGAAGCTCAAATGCCCCTTCTCCATTTTACCACCTCACCCACGCACGATCATTTTTCACTTTTAAATCTAAATTCTGCTTTGTCCCCTCTATGAATTCTCTTAGGACCCAGCCTTCCAACACCCCCAAAAAGATGACAGACGGTGGGATGGAAAAGCAAGCAGCTTACAGTGGGCTTGAAACTAAACAGGAGAAAAACTAACATTACCTCCCATCCCCACTTACCCAAACATGCTCTGTGGACCATCCATTACTCCTGTAACCGTGGGTTTTTAGAAATTTTTAGAAGGAGTGGGAACCCTGTTTCTTTTAAAACAAAATAACCCAGGAAATTGGAGGGAATGACAATATAAATTTGTTTTTAGTGATTTTCACCATGTTCTTCATTCCCAGTAAAATATAAAAACTCATAGGTTTGAGATGGGGTGGGGGTCAAAATGGGAGAAAATGAGTTCCTGGGCAAGATGCACAAATTGTCTACATTTCTCCTCATTGTTTATCAATTCCATGTAATGAGGGGGACAAGTGGAAAAAAAAAAAAAAAAGGGAGGGGAACAGAGAAGAGCTTCCCAAAGTAGCAGTACAAGCCCCACTTGCTGATTTTAAAAGTCTTGACCTTTTTTGATCTCAAAGGTCTTTGAAGAAACCATGAAGCTACTGTAGAGCCATCCATGACTGACCTCTTGCTGGAATCATGCCTGAAACTTATAAAGAAGATGATTCTCTAGAGAGAGCTCTGAGATACTGGAGACTGTCAATCCAATGATCCCATTTCTGCTTTCTTAGAAGGAAATGAAACTCCTTTCCTTCACCTGTATGAGGACTCTTATTTCAAGCAGGAAAGGACTTCAGCAAAGAGAATAACAGATACTCTTTACTCTCCAGATGGTACAATATCCTCAAGCAAAGCATGGGTTTTCCACTTTAATTATATCTATGGTATTGGTCTAAGGGAATCCCTGGGTGATGCAAATGGTTAATGCACTTGGACGCTAACTGAAAGGTTGGAGGTTTGAGACTACCTAGAGGCCTGGTGATCTACTTCCAAAGAATCAGTCATTGGAAAGCCTATGGAGCACAGTTCCAATCTGACACACATGGGGTTGTCATGAGTTGAAGCTAATTTCTTTTGTTTGGTTATTGGTCTAAAAGGAAGCAACCTCAGGCACTTATCCTTTGCTCATCTTGCTAATATGAATCCACAAATTGATATGATATACCTAAAGGGTATAATGTTAAAGTAAGTCTACATAACATATAAAGTTAAACACTGCTTCGTATTTTAGAAAAACAGCAACAAAACCTCAAACTGTCTTATTTTCAAGTAGTGTAGCTAATGGATGTTTTCTAAATGCTACAACCAAGTAAGTGGTACTGATGCTGCATTAAAGGCCACCTTGGATATGCTTCCATTATAGTGCCTCCATTCTCCAACTACAGTAAATTCCAAGACTGGTGAAGCCCTTAGATAAAAAGGCCATGTTTATTAGAATACTAAAAGATCTGCTACTGTTTCCGTTAAGGCAAACCATATCAAAATGATGGTGACAGGAATGTTTCTGAAATTTCCCAGTCCTAAAGGACCCTAAAAGAAAGTACAAAAACAGCAACACCATTTATATATACATAGACTCACACCATCTTTTCATCATGCAAGACTGGCTCCTCACATCAGCAAGGTTAAATAGAAAATTTATACATATCCTTTATACATGTCTTTTTCTCCCTCTCTGACAAATATACCCAAGGCCACATGTGCTTGCACATGTGTCTGTCTTTGTTGGGGATTCTAAGGCCACACCTGCTTATAGGCTACACTTTCTTCACAAGAGTCCTTTTTGGATTTGTTTCTTGCTTAGGATACGTGCTGGGTCTTCTCTTAATTTTTCCGGATGTCAGCATACACCACAGACTCTAACTTGTTAATTCTGTTACTGTGATGTCCGCCAGAGTGGTCTAACTGCACACATGTGACTGGGCACTGGAGAAAAGAAGTGGAATTAGAGGTCTGGAAAAACTGGTGGTCCCTTCAGGTGCATGCGGAGAAGCAATAATAAAACTGTTAACATCAGGGTTCCAAAGCAGAGAGTTCTCTCCTTTGAAAGTCTTCAAAAAGACTTCTTATGAAGTTCACTTTAAAACAAGAATATACATATGTTGATAATTGTTAAACCTGGTACATGGAAGTTCATTACACTATTCTCTCTACTTTTGTATATGCTTGAAACTTTCTATAACAATAAATTTTTAAGGAGCCTTCTTAAGAATATCCCTTATATTAATATCTGTCACAGAATTTCCTAACTCTTACAGTTGGAATCAGAGTCTAAAGGACTAAGACAGACCCTTCTACCAATCCAAGAATCACTGAAATCATCGGCTTCAGAAAGATTCACATAAGAAGCCAACATATTTGGTGCTACCCAAAGATACAATCAATTTTAACTGGTCACTTTATACAAAGAGGTAACTAAAAACACTTCAAATATTCCTCAACTACTTATCTAGCACAATTGTTCTAAACTGATTCCATCATAACCAATAAAAACATTGCTTCTTTGATTGCTAAGATCAGATGACTGTTTTTCCTGTTTAAAAAAAAAAAAAAGCCACAATCTCTAGCTAAAGATATAAAGAAAAACCCTAGATGGATTAAGTAGAACAGATCCTCTTCTTAGTCTCAGCAACACGGAAGAGGTTAAAAGTCCCAGAGAGTAGTCAGGGTCCAGTCCAGGAAAGCAAAGGAAAGTTGGGCTGTCTGGGGGTATAGTAAAATCCCTGCCATTTGAGGGAAGAGGGGTCTGAACAGAGGCTGTGGGTTCGAATATCATATGGGGGCAGGGGTTGCACTTGATGACCCTTTCAACCCAGAGATTCCAAAATTGTAAGTCAGACAGACAGACAAACCAAAAAGAGCCCTGGTATTCAAAAGAAAAAATTAATACAACCCAAAGGCAACTTTTCTCCCAATCAGGGAAACTCTCCTTGAGAAGTCTAATATTGTGCTTACAGTTTCAACTATGAAGTCAAGCTCCACAGCCAAGAGCATGTGGTTTAAAGTAAACTCCCTTACCCCCATCCAGGAGTCTCAACAACCTGCATCCTTCAGTGTGTAACTTGGGATCGTAGAGTTCAGGGACTACTACATAAGAGGCCTTCAAACTGGGGCAAACCCAGCTGTAAGGGCTACATGAAGATGTTCCTAAAAGTGAAGTTATAATACTCGAGGTCTAGACCCATTGAACTTTGGCAGGTCTGGACAGTCTGAATTCATGAGATATTCTTCTTTGAGCATGACAGGCAAGAGCATAGGCTGTGTGACCTTGGGTATATTTGTCAACCTCTAAGCATCAGTTTCCTCATCTCTGAAAAGACACTAATAATATTACCTAAACTTCTTAGAGTTGTTGTGAGAATTACAGGAGATGATACCTATAAATAACTTAAGCAGTGTCCAGCACTTAGTTAGCACCTAGTACATGATAGTTATTATAAACATCCTGTTACACAAATACACTTTAAAATACATTAAGGGAACTGATCAAGTAAACCAAGTAGTCAAATGCAGTGTGTTTATCTTTAGTCTATAGATGATACTCTCTAATACCTGTCACGGGTAACATTAACTGATCATACTGTTGATACCAAGTCAAAGAGATTCATCTGGATTCATCTTAAAAGTTGCAGATTAAATGCTAATCAAAAAGGGGGAAAAATCCCAACTATTTTCTACTACTAGGAACAGATTGAAACTGTGTTCTTTAAGTCAGTTGATCTTTGGTAACAGCCACTTCTAAGAATAGCACACCTGAAATTAAATTATGCAACTTCCTAGATAATAAAACCCCATCAAAGACCACAGCCTTCAGTATGGATTACACCTCAACATAAGGAAAACAAAAATCCTCACAACTGGACCAATAAGCTACATCATGATAAACAGAGAAAAGACTGAAGTTATCAAGGATTTCATTTTACTCGGATCCACAATCAACACCCATGGAAGCAGCAGTCAAGAAATCAAAAGATGCACTGCATTGGGCAAATCTGCTACAAAAGACCTCTTTAAAGTGTTGAAAAGCAAAGACGTCACCTTGAAGACTAAGGTGACTAAAGTCATGGTGTTTTCAATCTCCTTCTATGCGTGTGAAATCTGGACAATGAATAAGGAAGACCAAAGAAGAATTGATGCCTTTGAATTGTGGTGTTGGTGAAGAATATTGAATATACCATGGACTGCCAAAAGAACAAACAAATCTGTCTTGGAAGAAGTCTAACCAGAATGCTCCTTAGAAGCAAGGTTGGTGAGACTACATTGCACATACTTTGGACATGTTATCAGGAGGGATCAGTCCCCGGAGAAGGACATCACACTTGGTAAAGTAGAGGGTCAGTGAAAAAGAGGAAGACCCTCAACGAGATGGACTGACACAGTGGCTGCAACAATGGGCTCGAGCATAACAATGATTGTGAGGATGTTGCAGACCGGGCAGTGTTTCGTTCTGTTGTGCATAGGGTAGCTATGAGTCGGAACTGACTCAATGGCACCTAACAAGAACGTTAGGAGTTTTAAGGCATGTACATGTGAAACATTAGAAAAATGGCTGTAAATTCTTTCCCTCTCTACATCTACACTCTTGAAATATAGTGCAAGAGATCTTGATCTCCCATCAAGAGGAGCAACTTGTTTCTCCACTTCTTGAATCTGGACTGGTCCTGTGACTTGCTTCAACCAACAGAATGTGGTAAAAGTGATGCTGTACAGGTTTCTTAACCTAGACCTTAAAAGGCCTTGTAGATTCCACTCTCTCACTGATCTGGGGACCCATACAGCCACCACCACTATGTGAGGAACTTCAAACTAGCCTGTTGGATGATGACAGACAAGTGCTTCAGTGGCCCTCTGTCTCTCTGACCAACAGCCTACCAACTGTCAGACTGTGAGTGAGACCACAGTAGAATGTATAGCCACCAGTCAACCCTCCAGCTGATCAGAGACACATGAGTGAACCAGCAGAGATCAGCTGGACTGTCCCAAACCAGAAGATCTACCCAGTCAACCCAAAGAACTGGGAGCCAAATAAATGGTTGTTTTAAGGTACTACATTTTGGGATGGTTTATTACCCAGCAATAGATAACTGATACTTACTGAGTTTGAAGGCTTAGGACCATAGTTTCGTGCGACAACTTGGTTAACTGGCATAACATTGTTCATAAAGTTTATGTTCTACGTCCTAGTTTGGTGAGTAGCATCTGGGGTTTTAAAAGTTTGCAAGTGGCCATCTAAGATAGAACTATTATTCTCTACCTGTCTGGAGAAAAAGAGAAAGAAGGAAATCAAAGACTCAAAGAACACACTTAGTCTACAGGACTAATAGCCTACATGAACCACAGCCTCATCTATCTTCAGACCAGAAGTACTAGACAGTTTCTGGCTACCACTACTGACCGTTCTAACCAGGGGCACAACAGATGGTCCCAGATAGAATGGAAGAAAAATGAAGAACAAAACTCAAATTCTTAAAAAAGGCCAGAAGTACTGGAGCAGTAGAGACTAGAGAAACCCCTGACATTATTGCCCTGAAATACCCTTTAAGCTGGACTGAAACCACTCTCAAAGATCACCCTTCAGTTAAATAACAGATTGGCTTACAAAATAAACAATATCACCTGTGAGTACTATGCTCCTTTAAAAAATCATCTATATGAGACTAAACGGTCAACATTTACTCTAAACCAAGGATGAGAAGGTCAGGGGCAAGAGAAGCTAGATTAATGGAAACAGAACAACCAGGATGGAAATAATGAGAATGCTGACACACTGTGAAAAATGTAACCAGTGTCACTGAACAATATGTATAGAAATTTTTAAATGGGAACCTAATTTGCTGTGTAAACTTTCACCCACAACAATAAAATACTATAACAAAAAAAGGATAATTGATATAATGTGTGAGTAGAAAAAAAGTGAAGAGAAGCAAGTTAGAAAAAGAATACAGAATTATCTCTGAATCAGTAAATGTTAAAATACCAGTAAAGTTTTTCATGTGAGACAGTATTGTCTTCCATGACATGAGAATAAATTGTTGAAAGCAAGTGGAAAAACATTGAAGGGTAAAAGGAATTCCTTCCTGTTAATGGATTTCGTTTTCTTCATTTGCTTATTATATTATCTCTATCCTTTTGCCCCCTTAGAAAGTAATAGTTCATTAGGCCAGGGACTTTGTTAGTTAACTGTCTAGAGTAGTACTTGGGAGGCTGTACGTGCTAGATGAAATAAAGGATCCAGAGGAATTCTGGGATGTGAATTGAGATTAGGGACGTGCTGGTGGATCTAGCTCAGTCTAGAACAGCACTCTGAAGTCTGTTCTGCAGTGTGGAAGCTGAATAGTTGGGGGACTTTTTGCTCAGGTAAATGACCCTGCCCGCCTCTGCCCCCATGGTGAATCATAATTGGTATCTAAGAGAGTCATAATTCTTCTCCCTTGCAAGTAACTGGAATAAGCATCAGCATGTGACCCACTCTCGGCCAATGGGGATCAGGGAAAATCTGCTGGGAGGTTTCTAGTAAAGATGTTCCTCCATAATAAAAACTGCGTGGGAGCAGATTCCGCTCTTCTTCCAGCTGCCTGTTTTCATGTCCACATGTAATGCTTGAAATCATGGCAGCTGTTTTGAGGCCGAGGGGACAAGCCTAAGAACAAAGCCAATATGCAAATGATGAAAGAATAGTAAGATGGAAAGATCTTGTGTCTTTAATGATATTATTGGGCCACTGAACCAGTGAATCTAGGAGTACCCTGCCTTGGGACTTCTTCCGAGTTAATAAGCACCTTATTGTTAGAGATACTTTTAGTGGGATCCTCTATTACTGAGTCTTTTCCAACTATAACAAAAATAGTGACCAAAAACCGGTAAGTAATAGCAAGTTAATTTTTCTTAAGCTGTGACAAACTTTTCAGCCTCAGTTTGAACAAACT